GATTTTGGATCAGGACCAAAAGAAGGAAATGAGCATTTTACTCCACCATTTATAACATTAACTATCTCAGTCTAGTTCTTGTTCACTTTTGTTCTTTTGTACTGATATCCTCTTCCTCATGCATTTAAATACACCATTTGCCTTCTCTGGACCTATTCCAGCTTTGCTATATTAAAGTGACATGACCATTATTAAAAACAACACCCCAACAAAAGGACATACTATTGTTTTATTTAATGGCATAGTATTTATATGTTCTTGTGATAAATGAAGGGGGGGAGGTAGCTTCCTTTTATGGATACCCAGCCAGGCAGTAGCTATAAAATCCCTCTTAGTAGCTGTTCTCTAATTGCTCTACCTGTAAAGGGTTAAAAAGTCTCACTGCGATGCATAGGTAAAAGGAAGTGAGTGGGCACCTGGCCTAAAGAGCCAATGGAACTTTTTAAAATTGAAAAAAGACTCCCCTATTGTCTGGCTGTTGTTCTCCCGGGGAGATGTGAAGAGGACAGCAGCTATGCTGTAAGAGCTTGGGCCAGTTATGAAAGATCATCAGGATCATACCTAGAAACTATTCATTTAAACCCCCAGATATGTAAGTAGATCAGGAAATGTCTAGGAAGACACAATTAGGTTTATCGCTTTTATTTCATTATGGCTTGTGGATTTCTCTGTGCTAAACCCAGGTGCTTTTGTTTTGCTTGTAACCTTTAAGCTGGATCTCAAGAAAGCTATTCTTGGTGCTTAATTCTTGTAATTGCTCTTTTAAAATCTAGCAGTAGCCTGAGTTCCCAGATGTATTTTATTTCTTTTTTTAATTAATAAAATTTGCCTTTTTTAAGAACAGAATTGGATTTTTGTGTCTTAAGAGGTTTGTGCACATGTTGTTTAATTAGCTGGTGGCAACAGCTGATTTCCCTTTTTTTTCTTCTCAGCTCTTCCCCGGAGGGGGGGGGGTGAAAGGGCTTGAGGGTACCCCACAGGAAGGAATTCCCAAGTGCACCTTCCTGGGTTCTCAAAGGGGTTCTGCACTTGGGTGGTGGCAACATCTACCCATCCAAGGTCAGAGAAAAGCTGTAACCTTGGGAGTTTAATACAAGCCTGGAGTGGCCAGTATTAATTTTTAGAATCCTTGTGGGCCCCCACCTTCTGCACTCGAAGTGCCAGAGTGGGGAATCAGCCTTGACAGTTCTATATAATAAATTATATCTATTTTGCAATTTATCTTTAACTGCTGTTTCACACAGCGCAGACATCTTTTACTGAGCTACCAATAAAGACGCCAAATCTTTTATCTCGGCTAATGAGGCCAAATCTAAATATGATACATTCCCTCCCCAAAAGCCTGTTGCTGTAGCATCTCAGCACCTCACAATCTTTTAATGTCTTTACTCAGAGCAACCCTGCAAGGGAAGGATGTGGTGTTATCCCCATTTCACAGGCGGGAACCTGAGACACAAAGAGACTTGTCCAGAGATCATAGACCAGTGGTCCCCAAACTTTTCAGGGTCACTTCCACCCTTACTCCTGTTCTCCTGCCGGAGCCAGGAGTCCCGGGGGGGGGGGAAGTGGACAGGGGTAAAGGGATGAGGCTGGGGGCAGATCTGGAGCCAAGGCCGGGAATGGAGCCATGACCAGGGGCTGAGGCTGGGGACAGAGCTGGGAATGGAGCCACAGCCAGGGGATGGGGCCGGACTTGGGGTGGGGCTAGGGCTGGGACCAGAGCCTGGCTGGGGGCGGAGCTGCAGCTAGACTTCGCTCAGGGGCCGCAACTGGAGGTGGGGCCGAAGCAGAGCTGGGACAACATTCCCCATGTCCCCCCTAGGGAGGTGCACCCCTCAGATGAGGATCTCTGTCATAGAGGAAGTCTGGGGAAGATGAAGTAACAGAACCTTGCTCTCCTGAGCCCCAGGCTAGTGTTCTAACCGCTGGACCATCCTTCCACCACAGCCCATCAGCATATATGAAAAGTTTGAGCTATTTTTTTCCAAGGTTTATTATTTTAAAGTTTCCCAAGTGTAAATTTCATCTGTCATCGTTCTGTCCAATATGCTCAAATCCATGTGGAGGTTCTTGCAATTCTTCAAACTTCCACCTGACTGAAACAAATGACTTAGCAGCACCCATAAACTTTCCTAATTTTCTTTCAGTCACTAATAGATTAAACACCACTGTGGGCAGTCCCTGTTAATTTCTCTTTCCCCTATGGTGTGGTTATTAATTGGTTTTGTCCTTGTACATATTCTCTTTTTAATGCACAAGATTTTGTCCTTAGACCCCAAGATATTTCCTCCCTCACTCCCACCAATAATATTAAACATTTCTTACCTTTCTCTGGAGGCAAATCCTCTCTAAAGCATAGAGGGGGTAGGGGAATGCAGTTCACACCCACCCACCCATCCATATATTTTACACATCAACCAAACTCCTAGAAACTTTATACTAAAAAGAAACCAGACAAAGGGCTCAGTCCTGCAAACACTTGATCACTTGAGCAACTATACACGTGTGACTAGTTCTATCTAAGTAAAGGTGACTATTCATCTGAGGAAATGTACTCAGAGAGGTAGGTGTTTGCGCTGAGTTTAAACATGAGAACCAAAAAGTGTAAGTGATCATTCAAGAGTAATTGTAAGCAGCCCGAGAAAGGATAATTTAAAAATAATCATCTTTCACCAAAGTATCAAACTGGGCCTCTTTTTATAATGTAAGATATAACACAGCAAAACAAAAAAACCTCTTTGGATCCCACTCACTCCTGCATAGGAATAACCCACATAAGGGAGAGGAAACATTGGAGTTACCACTCACTGAATATCCTACTCGTTCTTCCATTCCCTTTGATCCCAGATGTAGTCGAGCAACCTCATAAAAAATTGTTGGGCACCAGGAGAGAGAATGCATGAGACCACACTGAAAGGAACACAGAAGAGTAAGAATTGAGGGCACATGTCCCTTTCATTCCACCTTCCTCCTCCCCAGTGGTTGCAGCTATATGCTGAAAGAAACAGGGTACTCCTTATGTCGGGGATCCCTTAAATGCATGAAGTTTGCAGGAGCCAAGGGCCAGCCACTAAAACCATCCTATCTTTCCAGTTAAAACACTGCAGAGCAGAATATTGAACCCTGGTCTCCTGTGTCCCAGGCTACTAGCCTAGTCACTGGACCCTCTTCCTCTCTACTGTTTTTCTGATAACTTCCACTGTGTTCTTTGGCCCTGTTGGCTCTTGCTGGTTTTGAGAGAGCACAGTTCCTGTAGCTCCCCCAGGATCCTCCCTAAAGATGCGATCCTATAACACGGATGGTAGAGCAGCAAAACTTACTACACCTTTCGTTTATAATCTGCTGTTTCCCTTCAGGAGTTTCAGAGTGGTGAAATGGAGGAAAGGCAAGGAAGAAGCCAGAGAATTCCAGACACTTCTCCAACCCCTGGCCTGTTCATTACCTCTCTATGGAGTAGAAGCCTTAAAAAGGACTTGCCAAAAATTGGTAGGGAAAAGAGAAGCCTGCAGTGCAGATTGGGCACAGCCTCCCTAACACACACATTCAGAATGGACTCAGGGCCCGATTCTGCAAACATTGACACATTATGAATAACTGTATTTACATATTCAGTAGCTCTACTGGCATCAGTGAGAGTACTCGTATGCACACCATTACTTGTGTGTGTTTGCTGGATTAGGTCCTTAGCTGGCTTAAAGCTAAACATTCAGTATGACTAAGTTTTCCCAAAATGATAAGCTAGAAATGGAGGACATTTTGCAACCAAGTATTGAATGCATTTTTTTTATTTAAACATTAAGATTAAATTACAAAAGCTACTGGAGCAATGGAGCAGTCATGCCAAACGTCTAAAAAAAAGTTGAAAACTCAAATTACACTTTCTTATTCATGGTTGAAGCAAAACACACGGGCAGCAGCAAGGAGGTTATAGAAAAGTTTCAGACAAAGACCAAAATGCCCGTATTGTCTCTGAAAGACCTGGCTGTCATGAAGAGTAGCTTTCTTTCTCTGACACCCTTTTTTGTGTTGGGTGATTGTTTTCTTGTTATTGGGAATAAGAAATAATCATTATTTCAGAGGCATCTCTGTTCATACAACATCATCTTCTTCAATGGAAGATGTTGGCCAAACGCTGGTTATGTTACCCTAATGAAAGTATATATTAAGGACATTAATGTTTTATCTGCACAGTATGTTCTTAGTCTATTTTTAAAGATAATTTTGTGCAATGCATGCCTAATTTTTGCAATAAACAATGAGAATTACCAGAGAAAAATGTAGTTGGAGTGTGAAAAAGCTGACTTTCCCCCCCTAAGGATAAGATTCTACAACCTTTATTTACATAGAGTAGCACCTTTCTCCTCCGCAGTCCCACAAAAATCTGTGACCCAGATTCTCAGGTAGTGTAAATTAGCATAGTTCCATTCAGCACTAGGTACTATGTCCATGTCCACTGGTTGAGAATCTGGACTGATGGGATTATTTGTGGAATAAGGTGCTCCTTGGAGAGAGTAAGGGTGGTGAAATGTGACCCTACATGAGAATTATTACATTTACAACCTGCATTATTCATGGTACCCTATCAGATGACAATAATGGAACATTTCTGTAAAATATAGGTTACGCCTATGTATGTCTGATGTACATTAGACATATAAAAACTTCAGATCTGTAATACACTTGAACAGTTAAAAATATAACTTATTTTATTTATAAACTATCAATGTAAGATACTGTGCAGCATAGAAGCCATGTTCTATGACTTCTCTTGTGTTCTTCTAAAAAGATCTGTGGCTGTAATTATTAATGTCACTGTCTCTGAAACATCTGCTGTTACATGTAGAAACAATCAAGGCAATATTATTTGTACATATTATTAAACATGCAAAAACTTCCTGAAGAATATTGCTCAAGTATAGAAAGTTTTCTGGCCTTCATATTCTCCGTGGTAGCATTTGCTTTATTAATATGGCTCACGTGTGGTTTTGGAGTCCTTCAGTTTATTTTGGAGAAGTAGCATCTTTAATAACAGGTTCCCTATTCAAATATGTGGCCCAATAGACTAAATTAAAAGTTCCAAACAATACTGGAAAAACTATTCGGGACATTTTGTCAATCTTACTGATGCTGTTATAAGTCTTTTTGCTTTCAGCAGGCTTTTCTTCTGCAGATTTCACTGCAACAGTTGCAGCGCTTGAGATGACTGATGGGGCTGAGTCCTTTGGTACGTTTGGTGTGGGGGCTGTCCTTCCAGCACTGTAAGCATTAATTGATTTGTTTCCTAGTAATTGACGCTCTTTTCTCTGTAATATAAATAAGGAAATACCATTTGGCGTAGAAGGCAGGTGAAAACATGTTCTCAGGGATTAAACAAAAATATCAGTTTAGTACTCAATCATGCAAACTGAACAGGAGTACTTGTGGCACCTTAGAGACTAACAAATTTATTAGAGCATAAGCTTTCGTGGGCTACAACCCACTTCTTCGGATGCATATTCACTGAAAATGCAATTTCAAGTGGGTTGTAGCCCACGAAAGCTTATGCTCTAATAAATTTGTTAGTCTCTAAGGTGCCACAAGTACTCCTGTTCTTTTTGCGGATACAGACTAACACGGCTGCTACTCTGAAACCAATCATGCAAACTGTTCACTAGTTGTTCTCATTTCAAATCCCAACAAACTATTTATGTCCTGATCTTGCCGCCCTTACTCAAACAAAACTTCCACTGACATCAGTGAACGCTGAACAAGGCCCTCAAGACTGGGTCTCAGATTAGCATGTAAATTAGCAGAATCCTTTATCGATGTGATCCTCGCCTTGGGTCAGTGCTTAATTTGTGCCGGGCTTGCCGGGGCTCAGCCCCGGCACCTCTGTGCTTGCTGCATCAGTCACGAAAGTAGCTTTTGTCTTGGTATTTAGCTATTTCACAGGGGATTGATATAAGGTATATTGCCTGCAAATATTATTTTTCTTTATGGGATCATTTGATAAAGCACATTAGAATAGCCCTTATTACTGACAATAGTCACCAAAGTGCCCAGTAAAGTCCTGATGCTGAAAATACTTATACATGTAACTTTCACATGGGAGTAGTTTCAATGAAGTTGACAGGATTACTCCTGTGAATAAAGTTATGCTTGTAAGCATTAAATAGTCGAAGTATTTGCACACAGGGCCTACATTTGTAATAACTCTGGATATATTGCAGTTGAAATGTTCATGCTTTCATATTGTATTTTTGTTTGTATTGCATTTATGGCGATTGTTGTGGGATCCTGATTTACTGAACTCAATGCGAGCTTTCCCACTGATTCAATAACAGCAGGAATGGACTGTCTATATTAATTTTATGCTACATGTTTGTTTAAATTCTTAATTTCAGTGAAGAAAATCCATAGTAATTAGAGCTATAATTGATCTTTTGTTTTGGCATCGGGATTGAAGGAAAAAAATGGTTTCAGATTGATGCAAAAAAAAATTAGATGCTATCAGTGAAATGAAAAAAGTTTTGGGTTCTTTTTAACCTTTTAAAAAAATTTAAGCACATTTTGAAATGGAACATAGTTTTGAAATGAAAAATCAACATGCTTGTTTTGAAGACACTGAAACAAAGTATTTTGATTTTTTTCAACTGAAACTATTTGCCAAATTCAGAATGAATTTGTGAACAGTTTTGGTCAACTTGAAATTGCATTTTCAGTGAATAAAATATTTGTCCCAAAAGTTTTACCCAGCTCTAGTTGTAACATACATTTAACTCTCTCGCAGTCATACTTCCAAACACAGATCAGTTCATATGCATGGTAGAGACAAATATTTCCTATTCTATCTGACAGCATTAAAAAAAAAAAAAATCAGCATGCCCTGCAAGTTATCACCTGAAGGTCAGTGACAGTGTGACATGAGTGAATTAAATACATTTTTATGGAGCAGTTGCAAATTGTACATTCAGTTATTTGTGCTGTGCAAGGTAACTGAATCTTATTCTAGTAATTCAAAAAGTGTAAATTAAGAACCTTGATTTTTGCAGCTTCCAAAGCTTTTTTGCCATCCCATGCCCAGCTTCTCTTTGTAAAATAGTTGACTGTTGCAAATTCAATCAGCGCAGAAAATACAAAGGCGTAACACACAGCTATAAACCAGTCCATTGCAGTCGCATAGGCCACTTTTGGCAAGGAGTTGCGGGCACTGATACTTAAGGTGGTCATGGTAAGGACTGTAGTTACTCCTTTAAAAAGAAAAAAAAGTTAAGTTTAGGATTCTGCACGAGACTTGGAATGTTTTGTGACTTAGGCCCTGATGCCTAAGCAGCCGCAAGGAAATAACTGTTTGTATAGCATTTTAGAAGTCCATGGTACTTTGGTCAACAATAGAAAAACAAGGTCCCTGCCTTGAGGAGCTTATTTCTGACTTCTGGGGCACCCAGCTCATCTTTAATTTCTACATATTGAAAGAACATTTTAAAAATTGTATGCATAAAGATTAGTGGTGTAAACCAGAATCTTACTTATTTTATTCATTCACGTTGATGTGTGGTACGTTTATAGCAGCCCTCATTTATAAAGAAGTACATTACAAATTCTCCTATCCATGTACTGAGGAATTAATGTAATCTTCGGACTTTCTAATACTTGCAGGGATATGTTTGTGGAAAGATACATGTAAATCCTATAATCTTTTTCCTTCTGGATTTCAGCCAATATAGAGCATGAACTTTGTAGAACAACCTAACAATGCAGATTATCACAGGTAATAAAAAGAAACTTGGAAGTCACTTTATTAGGATCTGAATAACTAAACTAATTATCAGTAACTGCAGTAATAAGGCAAGATTTCAATATTTGGAGATAAAAAAAACAACATAAATTATTTTCAATAATTCATTTCCAACCATTGTAGGTATCTCATCCTGCTGCCACTGAAATTAGTAACAAAATTGTTACTGATTCCACTCAAAGGAGTAAATTCTACTGTCAGTTACACCTCTGTAAATCCAAAAATTCCACTGATATCACTGGATTTAAAAAGGTGTAACAGAGTGGAATTAGGTCCCCAATCCTTTGGCATCATGGTAGGTAGTCTCTGTGGTGTCCTGGCCCACCTCATACCACTGATTTTAAAGCAAAATGCCTGACTGATGTCAGTGGAGAGTTCTGTATAAAAATCAATAGCAAGTTTTGGCTCCCTGTTCCTAGTGGGAAAACTCTTTTGTACAAAACTGATTTTTGCACTCCTCCCTTTCCCAGCCACTGTGTTTTCATATTGCATCAGTCTTGGGTGTTTACTTCCTGCTTACAAGAAATCTTCTAGTGATAATTCAAGTTGTTTAGAGATCCCAAAAGGATTTTACCTATTATACATTCTGTAATATGGATACAGTTTGTAAATGAGTAATTATATTAATTTGTATTGATGATAATAATACCCCTATTATCATCAGTACAAATTAATTGGCACTAATTAACCTCTTTTATGATTCATCTAGATCAGCACCTGGAAACACAGACACACTAAAACTTTTGAAGCGAAATCAGCATTTTCATTGTTGTGTTTAGGGTATGTATTAACCCCTCCCCCATTACAATAAAAACACACAGATTTGATTTCTTCTTCCCTCTTCCCACACCAACCCTCATTTAATTCTTGTGTAATTTTCATCAGAACTAAGTCAAAGGACTTGGAAATATGGTAGGAAGAGAGCCTATGGTTTAAACTGGTTCAGAAGTAGGGGGAACAGAATCACCTGGACTAGAAATAAGTCATAGTAAACTATTATTTCCTTACACAAAGTCACCCCTTTGAGTAAGACAATCCTTTCATAACCACCACAAAGGAGTGAAATACTCACCGAAGACAGTTCTAGCAGGAACAGACTCTCTGTTTAGCCAAAAGGACACTTGTGATAAGATCACGGTCATAACACATGGAAGGTACGTCTGGATGACAAAATAACCAATCTTTCTTTTCAGGTGAAAATGTGCTGTCATAATAGTGTATTCACCTAGAAGGAGAAAAATGCAGTGGTGGGAAAAAGTCAGACCATGCCTGAAACTGATGGATCCTGCTGATTTCTGTGCCCAAGTCCTCAAATTCTGTCACTGACTGAGAGAACACACTCAGCCATTTCCACTGCACCAGAAATGTCTGGTCTTCTATGCAGCCTAGCTCTGCAAGGCTGGAAAAACCGGGATCCAGAACATACATCCTGCTGATGTTTGTACCCATGCCTCCAGAATGCCACTGCATAATTATACAACACAATGAACTGCTCCTACTGCATTAAAAAGTTCCAGAACCTGGCATGTTCTAATGCCACAAGGCTTCAGAAATTTGGATAGGTGACATGAATTCTGTTAGATCCGGCCAATTTTTGAGTCCTGGGCCCCAAATTCCACCACCAAAATAAAGAGTAAATCCAACTGGTCTTAGTGCATCAAAAAGGTACAGAACCAGCACATTCCAGCAGTACAATGCTGCAAAAAACAAGATCTGGTACTAGGATCCAACCTGATCCTGATAATTTTTGCAGCCAAACCTCCAGATTTCTACTAAGGAAACATGACCAGACCCTCCTACTGCACTGAACATGTCTAAACTATGGCATGTTCCAGTGATGCAGCATTGCAAAAACCTGGATCTAGAATATGACATTCCACCCCACTATCACAGAATACTTTCCACCACTCCTAGAGCACCACATAATTTGGCATGCTCTAGCACCAGAGCACTGCAAAATCCTAGATCTCAGACATAGATTATGATGGAAAGTTTGAGCTGCATTATAACAGTTTGTCAGTAGGCTGTGGTGTGTGAAGACTACTGCAGCCTATCTTTATCTAGCACTGAAGACAGTCTACATTCTTTTTGACAATAAAGCTGTTGCTAGTATCTATTTTGCCTCTATCTCTGCCTGACTAATCTGACATGGTTTCTGAAGAAAAACAATATAAACGGCAGAATTTTGTCAAAGTGCCTAAATTTCATGCTCCACAGAGCTTCAGCTTTGATGGAGCAGACTGGACTGACTGGAAGGATCGATTTACGGGTTTTGCATTTCAACTAAACTCCAGGAGGAGAAGGGCCTGGTCCAGTTGTGTTCCTTAGTCTATGCTATGGGCAGGGAAGCTGAACCCATCTTTAAATCCTTTGCCTTTGGAGAGGAGAGCCACGCTGTAGTGCTGGCTGTGTTTGATGAGCAGTTTACACCTCCATGTAATGTGGCTGATGAGTGAGCCCGTTTCTACCAGCATGTCCAAAAACCTGGGGAGTCTGTGGAATCGTTTATAAGAGGCTTGTATGACATGGCAGAATACTGATATTGAAGACAAAATGGAAGAGCACATCAGAGACAGAGTACCGATTGGCATTTTAGACAAGGGACTGCCAGAGAAACTGCAAATGAGGGAAGATTTAAACCTTCACACAGCAGTAGAAATAGCAAGACAATTGGAGAGTATTAAAAATCCAAACAGAGGCCAGGGCCACCAGAAAGAAACCTAGAGGAAGTGACTTACAAATAGAATCACAATAGGAGATATAGCACAGCTGCAAAAAGCAATTGTAATCAATCCTGAAAGGCAACGTGGGGTGAGCCCTAGGCAAAATATAAACACTTTTCAGACTAGATGCACAAAATGTGGGAAAGATGACAATACAAGAGGTGATTGTTTAAATAAAGGAGAGAAATGCTGTAAATGCACAAAAACTGGCAATTTCATTTGGCCAGAGAGAGAGAGCTAAACTGACTCCATTTGTTACACCATTTGGGACATTTTGCTTTCAAAGATTCCATTTCAGGAGTACCAATGTTCCTGAAAATTTCCCAAGAAAGATGGCAGAGCTATTAGAGAACATAAATGGGGTAGTCCTTTTTAGGGACAACACATCAGTGGAAGAACATAACAAAATCTTCAGTGAAGTCCTGACCTAAACCAGTGAGTACTGATTCAACCTAAATAAAGAAAAGTGTGTTTTCCAATGTGAATTTTTGGAACAGATGGAATTAGTCCTATCCCCAAGAAAGTAAAAGTAATTAGAGAACTGAATGCACCAACAAATGTACCAGAACTGAGACACATACTGGAGATGGTAAACTATCGTGGTTGATAGTTGCAAGACTTTTCTACAGTGACAAAACCACTGAATGAACAACTAAGGTCCAATACTTCCTGACTACGGGGCCCAAATCAGGAGACTGCCTTCAAAAGGGCAAAGAAATTATCTTTAGAACTGGGGTAGTTAAATTCTACCATGGTCAGTGCAGATATCAGTAACTCTGGCCTTGGTGGTGCGTTATTGCATCTACATGGATCTGAATGGAAACCATTTGCATTCTGCCCTCATACACTTACAGAAGAAGAAAAATGATATGCATAGATTGAAAAGGGGTTCCTGGCAAGTGAATGTGCATGTGAGAACTTTTACAGATACATGTGTGCGAAGAGACTCAAATAACAACACCTATACCAGACAGACCCTGGAAAAGGCTAACACCAGATTTGTGCGAATTTAGAGGACATCATTACCTAGTTGTAGTGGATTGTTTTTCTAGATATATTGAAATAATATATTTGAAAGATACAACAAGTTGTAGTGTTATTGAGAAATTAAAAAGCACATTCACCAATTTTGATATTCCACAACAACTAGTGACAGACAACACACCACAATTCACCACAACTGAACTTCAGTCATTCTAAACCAAATGTGGTTTTGAACAGATCGCTAGCAGCCCACATTACCCACAAGCAAATGGAGAGTCTGAGAGGGCTGTACAGTCATCCAAGAAAATATTGAAGCAGGAAGATCCATTCCTTGCTCTACTGAGCAACAAGTCACTACTGTTAGCAGCTACTGACTACAGCCCTACTGACTACAGCTCCTGATGGGAAGGCAACTCAGGACTGTTCCAATCCTGGAAAACAATCTAGCCCCAGCATGGCCAGACCTGAAAAAAAGTAGCCAAATCAGATCAACAAACAAAAAGAGCATATGAACACTTTTATAACTGATGTCACTCAGAAAATTGCCTGTTTGTGTCAAAGTGGATAGAGGAGAAGGATGGAGAACTCCAGCTGTTGTAAAGGAAACGAATACCTCACCCTGATTATACACTATTGAGACAGACCATGGAGAGTTCAACAGAAATCGTCAACATCTTCAGTTTGTTCCAGAGACCGAACAATCCACTGAGCAAACTCTACAAAGTGCAGGTGCGGAACTAGAAGAAAAAGATTCACCTATTCCAAACCTGCCAGAGACAGCCCTTGCAAATACAAGTCAGCCTAAATAAAATAAATAAAAATATTTGGGGGGAGGGATAGCTCAGTGGTTTGAGCATTGGTCTGCTAAACCTAGGATTGTGAGTTCAATCCTTGAGGGGGCCACTTAGGGATCTGGGGCAAAATCAGTACTTAGTCCTGCTAGTGAAGGCAGGGGGCTGGACTTGACTTGACTTGATGACCTTTCAGGGTCCCTTCCAGCTCTAGGAGATAGGATATCTCCATTAATTTATTTTATTTTTTTGAGAGATGATGGAAAGTTTAAACTGTGTTACAATGTTTAGTCACTAGGTGGCACTGTGTGAAGACTATAGCTGCATGTCTTTACTAAGTGTTGGAGCCAGTCTTTTTTAAAACTAATTAATTTATTCTTTATTTTACCAGTGAAGTTGTTACTGGTGTCTATTTTGCCTCTGTGTGACAATCCTGACATAGACCAAGCTGGATCTTTCTCATTTTGGCGCACAAGACTCCAAATTCCATCATCTACACAGAGAACACATCCAGCTGCTCTGACTGCACCAATACATTCCAGATCTCTTTGCATCCATCCCTATGCCATCCTTGAGACCTATCAGATCCTGCTGATGTTTGGACTCAAGCCCCCAAAATGCACTGCCAAAACAGACAGTCCATAGCTTCTCTCCTAATATGCCAGACAAATCTAGAACCTGACCAGTTCTGGCACAAGGCTGCTGCAAAATCCTGTATATGGCACCTGGATCCTACTGGATCCAGGCAATTTTGGGCCTCCCAAAGCACAAATCCCTCTACCGAAATATAGAACATTGTTGACCTCCTACGCCATCAGAAAAACCAAGATCCTGACACACTCTGGTGTGTAATTTGCACACACACATCCTACAATTCGATCCAGCTAATATTTGCTCCACACTTACAATTTTACCCTCTAAATAGAGAACAAGTATAGCCACTCTTATTCTGATATAGATTGGTGTAATCATGTGATAAAACTGCTGAATTCTGCCAGATCCTGGCATTTTTGGCCACGACCCCAAAATGTATTTTCTTCAGAGACAAGTGCAGCATAGACCTTTACCACTTGAGCTAAAGGACTAACTAACTACAAATACAATATTTAGTAACATGCAATGATCGTTGTCCTCTGCAGACCAGCCTCTAAAGGAGGATGTGTAACACAGCTAGGTTACATGTGCATGTATGGTCATATTTTACAGACAGCACAGCTGAGTAGTTAGATTTGGCAGATTATTTGTGAGAGACAGTGTGGTTAATTGGCTATGGCTTTGCTAGTATAGCTATACTGGTATGCTATGCTGCCAAAATGCTCTTAGTGTGGATACAGCTTATATCAGCAAAACTGTGCTTTGCACCAGTATAATTTATTCCAGCCCCTCTGTGCAAAATAAGCTGTACCAGCAAAAGGACAGTTTTGCTGATACAACTGCATATACGCAAGGGACTTCTGCCAGCACAGCTATGTAAGTCAGGGCTCAAACCTCTTCACACACCCGACCAACAGAATGACACTGGCAAAGCTGTGTAGTGTAGACCAAGCCTGAGATGTGGACCTGCCATATCAGGACTCTGGGATCTAACCCCAGTTTGGGTAAGCTCTCAGTGGGGTATGAGGCTGTGGGGGCACAATAGTTCCGGCTATCTGTGACTGCTGATACCACTCTGAGGTGTAAAGGCTCTGAGGTGTAAAGGCTGCCTCTGTCTCTAATGGGCCCCGTGA